CTTTCCACATACCAGTAGTCAATGATTTAAAGCATATCAGGATTGACATGCTCATCATAAATGTGTATTAAAATTATGTCATCCTGTTCGAAAATAAGCAATAAATTCACATTATCCCGCAATAACTGCTTAGGTATTTTTGGGTAGGTCTATGATAGATAAAAACAATCAATGTTTTTATGTCGACCGATAGAAAAATAAGTATTTAACGACGTTCATTTCTAAATGACATGGAATCGATAGTCCAACCTGACTCAGGTACCTCTGCTGATGTTTCAACAAACGAGTCTGTACTTTGTAATATAACGTTATATTTTGTATTAAAAGACTTAAGGGAATTTTTCCCATTCTTAGCCAAATAATACGAAACAAATAATTCAAAATTGATTTTAATGTTAGTTAAGTTTAAGTTAATTTTTAGCATGGGTATATAATAATAATACAGTACTAACGTTTTAGTTGTAAAATATATTTGTGATTACGTTTAATATATATAAAAATATTGGTAAATCCAACTGTGCATGCCTTAAGCGCATTAAAAAAATTACGTATAACTTAATTTTTATAAGAAGTTTACACACAAGTTTTCACTAATAACCTTATATAACTATATTTCCAATTTTATGATATCTTTATGTCAAACGTCAATTAAAAAAAGTTTGGAAAATCCAAAAGTGAAAAAAATAATTAAAAAAAATTGTAAATTGTAGTTCTATTCGTTAATGAGTGTCAAGTCTGGAGGTAAGGTCTATTCTATATATCTATTATATTCTATAACTAACAAAACAAGGCTAAACTCTGCACATCTAGTTCTCTTCGTCGAGGAGTTCCAGTAGCAGTCATCAGAGTACACTTTCAAGTCACTCTATCAAGTCCGCAGCATTCAGCATTTATAGGTACTTTAAGATTGATGGAAAATCCTTTCGTAGCAGTTCGGTCTTCTTTACACGCATTTTTTTACGGATATCAAAACAACTCTTTTTTTTAGATTTCATGATTCCGGTTATTTCATAAAATCTTTATGCCGTTTACTTTAACAAATTAGTATGTTTTTTTTATGTGTAATAAAATTAAGTTACGTTAAAATTTCTAGTGGGCCCAAATACCTTGTTCATCAGTCCAAATACAGCAATTTTGCTTATTGACGTATCCATTGAGCCAGAAATGGGCCTCATATTATCATATTATCAACATTAAGCAGTTCAAGAGCCCATTCACTGAAAACACGAAGCAAATTAAGGTGTTGCGGCTTCAATTCTTGCACGAGTTGGATTTTGTATGCTTTTAAACCAAGATCCTTGCGCTAAGATGTTCCATACGACAAACTAAGCTGTTGATAACGGCCAATCGATTGCTCACGGTCATCACGCACACTCTTAGCTACCGCTATATTATCTTCGCTACGTGCTGGATGAGGTCTATTCGGTCGCTTGTCAAAAAACGAAAATTGGGTTTGAAATTTTTCGATGGCAGTGGCAATAGTGTGTAAGTCTTTCCATGATGAAATGGTATTCAATACTGAGTGAAACTGCAATGATAGCTTGACACTCACGTGTGAAAAATCCCTATTGAAAAAAGTACCTACATCGCGATTTTAATATATGTATGATATCCAAGTTTAATGATAAACTGGATGTCAGTAAAGGATCTGCAAAGTAGGTAGATGATGGAGAGTTGTTTAACTTGATTAAACGTTCTTATTAATATGACTGCACTCCACCACACGTTATTTACACATATATTTTTTATCAGAGATAGGTAGGTGTAGTCTTGTAGGTCACAGTACTAAGATATCATAACTTAGAACAGTCACGTCGCGGCGTACTCATACATGAATACATGAATGAATTTAATAATTATTATCTTCCACTTCAACACAATGAAATGTTTCAGAATGATATTATCACACGAGTAAAGAAACCTCGTGTTATGAATAAATTGACTGTTTATGTAATCTATACGTATTATAATAAAAGTTTTACATAAAAATATAACATTCTACATCACTTCTTTAGCCCGCATAAGTCCACTCCTTGACATAGATATCTTCCTAAAACGGGAAGTTTTTCATAATCGCCACGTTTGGCGGGCATTGTGATCTACCAGACATGTCACTCCATGACACTTCTTCTCGTCACCAATTTGGGTGTTTTACGTCTGGCGCAAACTGGATGATTTTACTGACTGTCGTAGGTATGCATGACGGAAACGGTAGTAGATATCTCTGGTATCTTTAATAGCTGCTACCCAACACAACCACGGGAATAAGTGGGCGCATGGATTAAATCCTCATCATCATCATCACAAATCCATAATCGTCCAATTCTGGACTAGACCCTTTCCTCTTGTAGGAATGTAAGCCCTTATTTACTGTAAAATCGGAACGGCTGTGTATCTTCTTTGGCTGTCTTAAGCCTTATGGATCGTAGATCGTGATACGCTTAACATAGCAAGTAAAATTACTTGTTTATTTAAAATGTCATGTTAAACAATAAAATGTTTAAACGCATAAATTCATACACATCTAACTTAATATTATAAAAAAATTAGGTTTTAAAAGTAACTGGTTGAAAGACTTCATTTCTACTTAGAAGCCTGTCTGTTAGGTATCAAATCCCTATCTAATCTTGTAAAAAGTGGATGACTTTGTAAAAAGTGGATGACTGTTATTGGCCCTATGTAGAGACATATTATATAAGAATTATGTATCACAGAATGAAGGCTGTTGTTATCCCTAATAATATAAAATAAAAATAAAAAAATAATTTATCTGTCGACTTCCAAAAAGGAGACGGTACTCAATTCGACCGTGTTTTTTTACGTGTATTAACCTCATAACTTTTTACTGGGTTTCTTTTTTTTTTATTTTTTTTATTTGAAAGCTGGTACTTCTCGTGTGGTCCCTATATCTTCCCTAATCTCTTTGATCAAGTTCAACCAATAGTTTTTGATTAATTCTTAATAGCTTATATTGAAGTCGGCTGTAATTTTTTTTTAATTTTAATTTATTATTTCCGCCTGCAGTGCATAAGAACACTTATTGTGATTCACCAATGCGTTGACACCATGTCTTCACTCTGCTCGTATGAAATCATCCTTAAAGACAGAGTGGAATATAATAGTTTTTATTCAATTTCATTTCAAGAATATTTATTAAAAGTAATTTATGCTTTTACGAGTGGTTCGAACAAACCTCTGTCCTCGGAAGAACCTGAAAAAAGCCTAGCGGGAATGTTTTTAAAAGTATCAATTAAAAATATATTGAAAATATTTGGAAACATCATTTGTTTTTTTTTATAGGATAAGGTTGACAAGCGAGTACACAGTCCACCTGATGATAAGTGGTTATTGTGGCCCATAGACATCTACATATAGCCTCGGTCACGAATAAAAAAGCAGATATGTTGTGACCCGCTAGGACTACGATGGAATGCTTCGTTTCCAGTAAAAAGGGCCTCCGGTTCTCTACACTCACCATACGAAACACAGCAGCGTAAAGCTGTTGTTATTCCCCGGTCGAGTTGAACCATTCGCGCTACAACTATACCAGTAATATAGCTGCAGCATGGCTCTACCTCATAATAATTATGGTAGCAATCACCTCATTCTAAGCGGTTATTTTTTATTGTGTAGGTATTTTTTAAGTATTAAAAGTATTAAGTATTAACCCTTATTAAACAAGTTTTGCTTCATAAAATTTTTGAGCTTTGATCTGACTTTGTTGATACAGTATTATTAGCATATGCGTGTGTGTGTACAGAATGTTTATCACTATTTTTTATATTATTTTTTTAACGAAAACTTCTTTAGAATCGTTGTGATTTTAAACTCCATGACAAGAAAAAGCGACACCAAAAAGAGACTAACTTATATATCTATAGGATTTAGCCAGCGAGATAATGAGATATTTCCAATCCGTCATTCGACTACGTAGAGGTCGTGAACCAAAACACAAACATTTTTAGTGGTTAAATGGAATATTGGTAATGTAAATAGCATTGTTAGTATAAAAAAAATATAGTGTTTCTTATTATCTCTGTCTTCTTTTTGTGCGGTGCTATAAAGATCGTTAATATAACTTTTTAAAATAAAATAAAATTGAGCATATTATATAAAAATAGCGTATCCAATCCATTCATAACAATCCACGATTTCATAATTTATCGGTTTATATTAAATTAGTCGTGCTTAGGCCATCTAGGGTACCACAACGTACCACCTTGAGAGTCAATCGATTTTTGTTCGATAATTTTTTTTATGGAAAAGTAGACTTTTATCTATAGAAAATGTAGATGGCGCCATTACAAAGCAGTTTTACTCGCAAGTTTCTAAATATTTCACTTCTGCAGCGTGTAAATTGCACACATGTTTTTTTTGTGTAGTATAATTAATTACAGGCTGTGGAAAATTCAATCTCGCAGTCTAGGTTTTATAATTTACATCTGTCTGGTGAAAAAAGAGATAGTTATACAGCCATGTATCGGCAACCAAAGAGATCTTTCTGATTGGATGTTACCATACAAGAGATTTTTTTTTTTGGCACATAACATGGTATTATATAGATTGAAAATTAACATTTGAAGTACACAAGTTATTTACTAGAATTATTTGCACGCTGGTAGTGCCCGTTTTATGTCTAGTAGTCTGTCTTGATCAGGACCACCTTCTTGCCTATTATTGCAGCCAAGTAAAAATACACCCAGTGTTGTGTTCGGTTTAGAGGTTATGAACCAGCATAATTGCTGGCAGTGAGGCATTGTATTTTAGTCCTTAGTGAAGAAGGCCACGTATGTGTTAGTCCATTAACACATACGTGGCCTTCTTTCGTTGTTTTCGTTGCTTGTCTGTCACTCTAACGTTTAAAAAATGATAGAAAACATTAAAAATATTATAAAAATTATAAAACATTTAAAAAATAATATTTTATTATCAGATCTTAAAAATGATGGAAAGTGCCTGCTTGGGAATTAATGCAAAGCGTTGAACACGTATGTGAACACTCACATCTTCTTCTCAGCTACTGAACCTATCGTCAATTCACTAATCTGTAAAGAAACAAAAACTTAGGCCGGTATTCAGAGACTAGAGCTTTAACTCATACTTTACAACGTCAAAATGAGTGTGACATAGTACAATTTTGACATTGTTGAGTGCAAGTTTTCAAACTCGAAATGGCCTTATAGTCAGTTCACACCGAGACGCGACGCGACGCGACTATGCTTGAAGAGGCCAGTGGTTTCGCGCGAGATGCCTCGCGGTGTAGCTCGACGCCACGAGGCTTTTTAGAATTATCTCAATAAAATATCTAATATGTATCTTTTTGTGTCGTAAATAAAGTTATATTTTGCATCACTATCTTAAAATGTTCGCGCCGCGTCGCGTCGCGTCACGTCTCGGTGTGAGCTGACCTTATAATCGTATTATTAAGATGAGCAGATGAATAAATTTACATTAAGTTGAAGTGTGGTGACTGTGTAGGGGAATCTACTTACACATGAGAACTAAGTGTTGTCGGTCGGTACAATCAGGGAAGGACCGCAATCGCATAAGCAGAATCACCGCAGAATACCAGCGTAAAATATCAGCATAATGTCACTGTGCTTGGTGACATGAGTGATGAGAAAAGGAACTTCTTTTCACTAGTAACGAGGCATTCCAGCTTAGTTCTCAAGTGTAAAATAAATGTAGGTGTCTATGAGTCGTAGCATCCATTAGCAACAGGTGCACTTTTTGCTCGTTTCTCACACTTATTTCAATTAAAAACTTAGCGGAAATCGGATCTGAACAAATTAAGTATGTCATTAGCAATAATGTAATATGTTAAAATGATCTTTACATATTGTAATTGTTTTAATTGTCCGGTAGGAGAACCCATTTTACGTGGTAGAGCCATGCTGCAGCTATATTAGTAGTAGGTATAGTTGTAGCACGAATGGGTCGGCTCGATCGGGGTAGGACCACGCTCTCACAGAATACCAGCGTAAAATAGCAGCTTAACGCTGCTGTGTTTCGTATGGTGAGTGTAGACAACCGGAGACCCTTTTTACTGGAAACGAGGCATTGCATCTTACTCCTCACGGGTGACAACGCATCTGCATTTATTCGTAATCGAGAATAGGTGGAGATGTCTATGGACCGCAGCAACCATTTACCATCAGGTGGACTGTGTGCTCGTTTGTCACCCTTATTCTTTAAAAAAAAACAGTTGTTAGGTTTTAAGAAAAACATACACAAAAGAAAGAGCATGTCTAAAGTCCATGTCACAGCTATACCGGTAGCAACTGTGTCGTTGGTTCTCGTCATCGGTCTGGATATTTTACTATTGGCTAATATTAGATGTTGATCTCATCATGGTCTCATCTTTTAAGACCAATATACCATCCAAATAGTAGAAGATTTTCTTAAATCACCACCTTACGTCTACACGTTAATGATTTTTAGTAAAATATTAAAACTAGTGTTTACTGACGTTAACATTTGGGGGTGTCGACAATACGTAAAGTACAGCATCAGCAATGTCGGTCGGTTGCAGCATCGGTACTTCTGCGCCGATGACATTTTTATCCACAATTTTTGTGTTCACTAGGCCAGGAGAAATGCTCTGAAAACAACACAAGGGACTTATAAAAATATTTCAAACAAGTTCAACCGGCATTTAGTATAATTTTATAACTTAAATTAAAAATTAAAAAAAAAAACACCAAAAACAAAAAGAGCTGATGATCTTTAAACGGCTGAACAGAATTTCTTGAATCATAGCTAAGAACACGCTTGATCAAGTCACCTATCAACCGAAATAAACTAAATTAAAATCGATTCATCCGTTTGGGCGCTACGATGCCACAGACACACACACACACACAGAGATACACAGATACACATGTGTGTATGTACACAGATACACAGATATACATATACACAGATACACTCGTTAAACATATAACAACCTGTCTGTTTTCGTCAGGGATTAAAAGAGAGTGAAATTAAATTAAGAATGCAAATCTATAAATTTTGTAATACTGTTACGAAACTATATAAACTTTTGCTCATTATATCAATGTTCAAAATATAATATTTTATTTCACTAAAAAGGGTTATGTATTTCCATAGAAGTGAGTATTATCTCCAAGGATAGTTTACAACATAAAGCGGGTATAAGTAAAGCGATGCTTTTATGTAAAGCCCTTTTATGCGTTGGGCACGAAACGAAATATGATCTTGACGTTACCTGAATTTTAGTTGTCCTGTATAGAGTTTAACAGACTCTTTCGTCATAGGTACTTTTACTTTTACGGTGGAGCTTAAAATGTAGATAATCTTTGAGTGATGTGTAGAAATGAGATAAAATAAAATATGTATATAAATATTATCTATGTTCGTTTCTAAGTCCACTTATAGATGAATTAGTTGTTACAAATTCATCCATTCATTACAGCCTAACCTGTCAAATATGGCAAATATCCCCCTATGGGGAAAGCCTAGTTTAGCAAGCCTATTTTATTGATTTTTATAACTGACACAATGTCGTCGTTCCGTCATAAATTTATTTTGATTATAAGTAAGAGTACATATAGATGATATTCAGTACGTTACCCAAAGGGAAGATTAGGAGAAAGTAATGTTTTAACCAAATAATTCTAAATAAATATAAAACTGTGGATTTTTGCTTTGTAGAGCGCAGGGTTGGAATGACCTAAAGGCAACGTAGACAACTCTTAAGAGCGGCCAACCCGTCTAACTTTTCATACAAAAGCTTGTATGTGATTATGGCGTTGTAATAGATTAAAAATTCGGTATTAAAAAACATTTTACGTGATAGTTAACTTAAAGGAAGTTGGTAAAAGTAAGAGAGAGAGACTTGTTTTATGCCTAGGGTTTATGGTACAAAAAATGGCGGCGCAAGCCACGTAAGCCGATGTGTGCCCGTCCGTAGAATGTTATCAACAACAGGAATCTTTCCATGCGTCTTGACGTACTGTTTATGAAGAAATGTATGATTTGAAATCAGTTGAATAATTACCGTGATTCTTATTTTATTCTTGAAATCGGCGAGCTCTTGGAGTAGCGAGGATGTGAAAGCGGTCACTGCATGTTTGGTGCATGGGTAGACGTTAAAAGAGGAGTTAAAAGGTATGTAGTGTCCAGCAATACTGTGAACATTGACAATGTGCAGAGTTGTTAGATTTTTATTACAAAATATAGTAAGCATTCGTTTGCCATCAGGACTAGTTTGCTATACTTCTAAAATTTTACGTGGTAGAGCTATGCTGCAGCTATATTAGTAGTATAGTTGTAGCACGAATGGGTCCGCTCGACCGGGGAATGACCACGCTCTCACAGAATACCAGCATAAAATAGCAGCTTAATGCGCACAGAATATCTTAACACTGCTGTGTTTTGTATGGTGAGTGTAGAGAACCGGAGACCCATTTTACTGGAAAAAAGGCATTCCATCTTAGTTAAAAATTTTAATTATTATTGTATTCGCAATCTTGTCTTAATTATAGTGGCAATTGTACAAAATGATTAAAAGTTATAATCTATCAATGATTGTTTGATTTGTTTTGCATATATATATATATATATATTCTTTTTTATAATTTATATTAGAATTTGTGAGACCTATGGCCAGCAGTGGACTGTTAGGAGTTGATGATGAAGAACAAAAAGATTAGATGATGAGATTATTATCAGGTGTTGGCAGCATACCATTACGTGCCGATGTTGTCATAAGAGGCGATTACAATAACAGAAGACTGCAAATTCTAAACAGATATTGCTAATTCTAACTAACTCTAACTAAAGCGCTATTTAAACCTTGCGGCCCTTGCTAGCCTTGCAATGATTCCATATCGAAACCGTGTAAAAAAATCAAATGAAAAGGCATACATGTCATTTTTAGCTCGTGTTGAGATTTTTATTAAGCACACAAATTTAAACTGTTAGGTTATTTTTTTATTTATTAGCGCGTAAATTGTCACGCGCTCGCGTCCCAACCAACAGGGTTACCGATTTTTTTTGTTTACATAAAGTTATGACCAAACTGTGATTTTCTCCTGAATTGTGGAGGCAGTTTATGTACACAAATTGCACAAGGACAATCATCCAGACCTGGAACAACTATTAGTTGGCCATACAATTACTTGTTCTGCTCTCTCTCACTGCGCTACGGAGCCGTCAAATGGCTGATTGCATTGTATAATTTAATACATAATAGGAATAAAACTATTGCATCTGGAACATTGCAACGCCACGGTTTTTATAAATACACGCGGAATCATTCACATCAATAACTTGAAAAAGGGACAAACAATAAGAAAGTAACAGTAACAATAAGAAAAAGGACAAACAATATGAAGGTAATTTGCGTCGTTATTGCACCGGTTAAGCAGAGAAATCAAAATAAATCGCCATGATATTTAAAAAAAAATATAGGTGTTCTTTCATAGAAACAATGCACTATTGCAATGCACACTCCGCAATTCTGATGGTCGAAATATGTGATAAGAGGGATCTTTCAAACGGATTCTTATATTGAGGACTTTCCGAAATCCTATTTTTACATGATTACTAAATTTGAAGCAAGCTCTGTTCGGCGTCTTGTTTACGACATTATTACAGTTAATGAATTAGATTTTAACAATAAACGAAACGAAAGCGCTCTAACGTGGTAGAGCCATGATGCAGCTATATTAGTAGTATAGTTGTAGCACGTATGGGTCGGCTCGACCGGGGAAGGACCACGCTCTCACAGAATACCAGCGTAAAATAGCAGCTTAACACTGACGTGTTTCGTATGGTGAGCGTAGAGAACCGGAGACCCATTTTGTTCGGAGAGTTTTAGGGACGAAAAGTGTTTTGCTGAAGCCAGTCTGGCTACGTTGAATATATGTGGAGCAATGAACGATAAGATGGATGAAGTATGCGATATGATGTATGATAGAGGAATAGACGTGTTATGTGTAAATGAGACGAAAAAGAATGCCACTACACATGGCATGTATACCGCGTACTGGTCTGGTGTAGACGAGACCGAGCGGGCATGCCAGGGAGTCGGTATCATCCTATCAGAAAGAATGGGTCATTATGTGAAAGAGTATGCATGTGTAAGCCCGAGACTGCTGTGGATAAGAATGAAAGTGGGCTAAAAGAAGTTGTTTGTTCTAGGGGTCTACGGCCCAGACATGTCTAAGCCCACTTATATCCGAGATCAGTTTTGGGAGTTGGTAAGGACGGTGCTAATGAAATGCAAGGTTAATGGATATTGGGAACGTTTGGTGATGAAAGTATAAATGAGAATAGTGAAAGCCTCCTCACCGTATGTGTGGAAAAGAATCTTTTTGTGACGAACACTTTCTTTCGTCATAAAAACATTCACACGTATACATGGGAAAGAGGTGATGATAGAAGCATGATAGATTTCATAATTGTTGATGAAAGAATGAGGAGCGCGGTGGTAGATACAAGTGTTTACCGGGGGTCTAACGTAGGGACGGACCATTACTTGGTCTTGGCAACATTGGAATTGTTTTTGATTTTTATAGTTTGATTAATATAATATAATATGACAATGAAGATATTTATAATATTGTCAAATAATTTTATTACTTTTTAATAATTTGTATTTATTCAATGATGTAATTCAGTTTTTATTCCTTACAAAATAATCAATGCATGTTGTGATTACCCATAAAAAGAAATACAATTATAATGTGTTGAATTTGTTATGAAAATAATCTTTGTATTACTGTTGTAATTTCTGTTGGTAATCCTAATGAATAAATAAATAAATAAAATGTAAAGTAAGCACTGCGAGAAATAAAACATTGCTTTTAGGTAAATTAAAATTAAAAATTATTATCTACTTTCTATTATTATTGTAATAACGATACAATTTTACATATATTTCTAATACAACATTGAATTCCCTCCGTATTTTTAATGACAAGCAGCCACTTTTTTTAATTTATTCCAATTTCAAATAGAGCATGCTAGGCCGTATTCGTTAGTAGATATTTAAATGAAAAAATAAGTGTTACAGACTATTTATCAAAAATTTCGTTGGTGTGTTTTGTTTCTACCAAAATATTTGGTTTTGTACAATTTCAGGATTCTGGGTTCCGGTATAAATTAAGTTGAAGCTAGTGATCTTCGAGGTTGGGTGTCTGTTTTTTGTTCAAACATCTCCCCACTTAAGTGCTTTTTGTCCCAACAATTGGGCAGAGTGTGGTAAAGTTTTTATTCCTACAAACCTTACTACAAGATGGTCTTAAAATAATCACCTGTTTATATTCACAACATGGCCGTCGAAGTTGCGTTTCTTCATTGAAGCAATAGCGTAGCGAGTGCACATCACAACTCCTTTTAGGTTAATATCTATTGTTGCTAGTATTTGCTCGTCACTTAATTTTCCTTTGCCCAGATCTGCAAATTAAAGTAGATGATGACCGACCAGACTTTAGTTACCATCGGAACAGATTGAAATTTACTATATAAATAGGCTTGGCAACAGTTCCGAACTTTCTTGGACATCCCGCATCTGTACATAATTTGAATAGCCCTGATAAGATGAAAATTCCTTTGCGGGATAGCTTTTTCAATGATATCCTGGAAATCTTTGATAAATAAATGATCTCATTAAAGCAATATGCCGTGTAGTGGCGGTTAAGAATATCCACTACCCCATATCTTCCCGTGGGTGTCGTAAAAGGCGACAAAGGGAAACAGACAGGAGATGGGCAGCAGCATCTTCGTGATAACAACAAAATTACAATAAAAAACTGCGGTTGCCAACCCGCTCGCCAAGCGTGGCAACTATGGCAAATACCCCCCTATGATGAGAGTATGGTTACGGTGGCGACCATGGTAACGGCGGGGCAGGGGGTGCTAAGAATCTCCGGTGGAGGTTCGGTTGCCACCTAAGAAGACTCGACCTGGCAACATACAACGCACGCACTCTGAGGACTGACGAGAAGATCGTGGAGCTGGAAGAAGAGATAGACAAGTTACGATGGCATATTATAGGATTATCCAAAGTCCAAAGAGAGGGGGAGGACACGGTAATGCTCGAATCCGGCAACTTGCTCTATCACCGGGAGGGCGACCATCTGTCCCAAGGAGGTGTCGGATTTATCGCCCACAAGTCTCTCGTTAACAACGTTGTAAAGATTGAGAGTGTGTCGACGAGGGTTGCGTACCTTATACTCAGAATCACCAAACGGTATTCGCTGAAGGTCATACAAGTTTACGCACTAACCTCGGCACACCCCGATGAGCAGGTGGAGGAAATGTATGAGGATATTTCTAGAGCCATGCATTCCTCCAAAACCCAATATACGGTGTTAATGGGAAACTTCAATGCAAAACTAGGCACAAGAGAGAACAGTGAGCTGTAAGTAGGGAAATTTGGAATAGGGCAACGGAAACCAAGGGGCCAGCAGCTGGCCGACTTCATGGAGAAAGAGGGACTCTTTATGATGAACTCTTTCTTCCAGAAGCGGCCCCACAGGAAGTGGACCTGGTCGAGCCCCGACGGTTCCACAAAAAATGAGATTGACTTCATTATGACGACCAGACGACAACTGATCAGTGATCTCTCCGTGATCGCGAGGGTGAAAACTGGTAGCAAACACCGAATGGTTAGAGGCACACTGAACCTAAAAGCTAAGTTGGAGAGGTCTCGTCTAATGAAGTCAACGCTCCGTCACCCTCGTACTCTGTTCCAAAGTCCCGAAACCTTTCAGCTCGAGTTACAAAACAGTTTTCAGTGCCTAGAAGACTGCAATGAAATGGACGATATAAATGACAAGCTCGTGGAAACTGTCCATGCGGTCGGATCTAAGTTCTGCAAGACCCGCCGCAGAAGAACACAAAAACTCTCCGATCACACTCTCAATCTCATGGCCGTTAGACGGGAGATGAAGCTACATTCTTCAACAGATTTGACAGCATACAGACAACTGAACAGACAGATCTCCAAATGCATGCGGCGGGACTTGCACAACTTCAATACAGCTTGTATTGAAGAAGCGATCGAACGGAACCAAGGCTCCAATATCTTTGCCAGAGATCTGTCTGCCAGAAAGAGCCAACTGTCAAAGCTGAAGACCGAGTGTGGCAGCATCGTTTCCGGGGCACCTAAGATTTTGAGTGGGATTGAAAGGTTCTATGGGCAGCTGTACACGTCATCGTTTGAGCCACACGCAAGTGTGAGTAACGATCCAAGTGCGAGTCTTCATCATCATCATTACAGCCCTTCAAAAGTCCACTACTGAACATAGGCCTCCCCCAAGAAATGCCACAAAGCACGGTCTTGAGCCATCTGCATCCATCGACTTCCTGCATATCTTACCAGGTCGTTCCTCCATCTAGTGGGGGGACGCCCTACACTTCGTCCGCCGGTACGAGGCCGAGCGAGTCTTATCCGACACTATTCCGAAGATATCCCGGACCTCAGTCTGAGCGAGATTAGAATGGCTCTCCAGCACCTTAAAAACGGCAAGGCCCCAGTCGAGGATGGAATTACAGCGGAGCTTCTGAAAGCGGGTGGAAGACCGGTACTTCAAAAGCTCTTTAATTTCGTCCTCCATGGTGGCATTACACCGGAGGCGTGAAACAGAAGTGCGGTGGTTTTGTTCTTCAAGAAAGGTGACAACGCTCTCTTGAAGAACTACAGACCGATTTCCCTTCTGAGCCGCGTCTACGTGCTGTTTTCGAGAGTCATTACGAATCGTCTCGCGCGCAGACTTGACGACTTCCAGCCTCCCGAACAAGCCGGTTTCCGAAAGGGCTTTAGCACAATAGAACACATACATACCCTTCGGAAAATGGTACAGAAGTCCGAAGAGTACAATTTGCCACTATGTTTGGCGTATGTGGACTATGAGAAAGCATTTGATTCCGTCGAAATTTGGGCGGTGCTGCAGTCCTTTCAGCGGTGCCAAGTTGACTGTTGGTATATCGGACTGAAGTGTTTGTACAGTAGAGCTACGATGGCTATCCGAGTACAGAACCAGAGTAAGAATTCTATTCAAATGCAGAGAGGTGTAAGACAGGAAGATGTTATATCTCCGAAACTCTTCACTGCTGCATTGGAAGACGTTTTCAAGCTTCTGGACTGGAAAAGATACGGTATTAACATCAATGGCGAATACATCACTCATCTTCGATTTGCCGACGATATAGTCCTTATGGTAGAATCGTTGGAGGACCTAAGCACCATGCTCAATGACCTCAATAGTGTCTCCCAAGGAATAGGTCTAAGGGTGAACATGGACAAAACAAAGATCATGTTTAATGTCCATGTCACACCTATGCCGGTAGTTGTTGGGAGTACTAAGCTCGAAGTTGTTGACAAGTATGTTTACCTGGGACAAATAGTCCGACTAGGTAAGTCCAACTTCAACCGAGAGGTCAATCGACGGATTCAACTCGGCTAGGAAGCGTTCGGGAAACTACGACACATCTTCTCGTCAGACATACCTCAAAACCTTAAAACGAAATTGTACAACCAGTGCGTGTTGCCAGTGATGCCTTACGGATCTGAGACGTGGTCCTTCACTGCTGGCCGTATGAGAAAGCTCGAGGTCGCTCAGCGAGCTATGGAGAGGGTTATGTTATGCAGCCTCATACAGGTAGGCGAAGTGTAGGGCGACCCCCTACGAGATGGAGTGACGACCTGGTAAGACATGCAGGAAGTCGATGGATGCAGGTGGCTCAGGACCGTGCTTTGTGGCATTCCTTGGGGGAAGCCTATGTTCAGCAGTGGACTTGTGAAAGGCTGTAATGATGATGATGATGATTAAAACAATTATTTAAATGTTTGTGTCATAAAAGACAACATTTATTAACAGTGGTAGAGCCACGCGGCAGCTTTTGCTGTCGCATGGATGGGCCGGCTCGAACCGGGGTGGTAACACGACCTCACAGAAAACCAGCGTGAAGTAGAGGTTTACCTCTGCTTTTCGCTTGGTGAGTGCAGGTGGCCGGAGGCCCTTTTTACTGGAAATGAGGCATTCCATCTTAGTCCTCACGGGTGACAACGCATCTACATTTTGATTGGACTGTGTGCTCGTTTGTCACCCTTATCGTATAAAAAAAAACATATTAATTTTTGAGAATGTTTGTTTTTTTTAATATAAAGTGGGATACAGAAGACTATTCTTTTAGACTTTAGCGTATAGTCTAAAAATATGCTACAACATGACAGCAGAAATACAACCTAAGTATGATGATGAGGATAAGATGATGTTGTGACGAGACATCGACCATAAATAACTGTGGTAGAGCTAAGCGGTAGCTTTTGCTGTCGCACGGATGGGCCAGTTCGAACCGGGGTGGTACCACGACCTCACAGAATACCAGCGTGAAGTAGAGGTTTATCTCTGCGTTGCGCTTGGTAAGTGCAGGTGGCCGGAGGCCCAATCCCCCTCCCCCCCCATCAACATGGTAGTGGAATTAAATAAAAGACTACCCCAGGAGGGTACCAGCAACCCTGGAGAATCCCTCGCTGAGGATTTATACGTGGTAGAGCCATGCTGCAGCTATATTATAGTTGTAGCACAAATGGGTCGGCTCGACCGGGGAAGGACCACGCTCTCACAGAATACCAGCGTAAAATAGCAGCTTAACGCTGCTGTGTTTCGTATGGTGAGTGTAGAGAACCGGAGACCCTTTTTACTGGAAACGAGGCATTCCATCTTAGTCCTCACGGGTGACAACGCATCTGCATTTTGATTCGTTATCGAAGATAGATGTAGATGTCTATGGGCCACAGCAACCACTTACCATCAGGTGGACTGTGTGCTCGTTTTTTACCCTTATCCTATAAAAAAAAGAGGACATCTGTTTTCGACGCCTCGGCAGTCTTGAAGGTATGGACCTGTCCGTCCTATGGCTGCGCGTCGATAGCGACGACCATCCCCGCGTCGTACGGGTGCCTCTATAGGTCCCATAGCGGTAATGCCGACACAGACCGACTCATCGACCACGTCCAAATGGCTGCAGACTCCGTGCTACAACAGGTCCCATCCGCAGAGATCGTGATACTCGGTGATTTTAACGCCCACCACGCTGAATGGCTTGGTTCTCGTTTAACCGATCATGCGGGTAGATTTGTCTATGACTTTGCTTTGGCATATGGTACTCACGCTCCAATCGCAGTTGCGATCTGCAGCTTGCCGCCGTGTTTGGCACTATAGGTCAGCTGATTGGGACGGGATGCGGTCTTTTTTTGCATCCTACCCTTGGGGGCGTGTTAGCTTCTCGCTGGAAGATCCCAGCGTTGTTGCCGATTCTGTTGCTGATGTGGTACTTCAGGGTATGGAACTTTTTATTCCATCCTCTGTGGTGCCCATCGGAGGCAGATCCCAGCCATGGTTAGGTCGATGTCAACGTCAACGTCAACGTCTCGGGATGTAAACACCAGCGCACTTAAAAAGAAGTATAATTCCGCCTCCAGGTCCTTCAAAAGCGTCATTGCCAAGGCAAGGTCTGAGCACATCGGCAGAATTGGCGAGAAACTAGTTCGCCTTCCTTCGGGAACCCGTGCATTCTGGTCTCTCGCCAAGGCTGTCCAAGGGAACTTCTGTCAGCCATCTCTTCCATCTCTGCACAGGGAGGACGACTCACTGGCCCATGCCGCAAAGGAGAAAGCCGATCTGTTGAGCTCTCTTTTTGCGTCCAACTCGACTCTAGATGACGGGGGAAACACACCGCCGACCATCCCGCGATGTGAGTGCTCCATGCCGGATGTGCGGTTTACACAGCGCTCGGTTCGCAAAGCACTCTTCTCCCTGGACGTCAGCAAGTCGAGTGGGCCCGATGGAGTCCCTCCCATTGTGCTGAACTGACGTGTGCTCCGGAGTTGGCACCGGTTTTAACGCGTCTTTTCCGATACTCCTACTCCCAAGGCATAGTCCCGAATTCATGGAAGACAGCTTTGGTCCACCCGATACCTAAAAAAGGCGACCGCTCAGACCCGTCCAACTACTGACCTATTGCTATCACCTCCTTGTTCTCCAAAATAACGGAATCCATTATAAACTGCCAGCTCATGAGGTACCTTGAGGATCACCAGCTGATTAGTGACCGCCAGTACGGTTTTCGTCGAGGTCGATCAGCTGGTGATCTTCTAGTCTATCTTACTCATAGATGGGCGGAGGCAGTAGAGTGCAAGGGGGAGGCATTGGCCGTTAGTTTGGACATAGCGAAGGCCTTCGATCGGGTCTGGCTTAAAGCGCTTCTTTCGAAGCTTCCTTCCTATGGGCTTCCCGAGAAATTGTGCAAATGGATCACCAGTTTCCTTGCTGATCGGAGCATCAAGGTCGTAGTAGACGGTGCATGCTCTGATTTCAAGCCCATCAACGCTGGTGTTTCACAAGGCTGCGTGCTATCACCAACGCTGTTTCTCCTGCATATCAATGATATGTCGCTAACTGGTAGCATTCATTGCTATGCAGACGACAGCACTGGTGATGCCTTATATACCGGCCGTGCCAATATTTCTCGGGAAAACGTCACTGAGTACCGGGACAAACTTGTGTCTGAAGTCGAGTCTTTGCTTAACAAAGTCTCGGATTGGGGCCGACTAAATCTAGTCCAGTTCAATCCCCAGAAGACACAAGATTGCGCGTTTACCGCTAAAAAGAACCCCTTTGTCGTATCTCCTCAGTTTCAAGGCACTCCCCTTGCTGCCTCAGCTAGTATCGGAATCCTTGGCGTCGACATATCGAATAGTGTGCAGTTTCGTGGTTGCTTGGAAGGGAAGGCCAAATTGGCCTCTAAAAAGCTTGGCGTGCTCAGCAGAGCGAGACAGTATTTCATGCCGGCACATCGCTTGCAACTTTACAAAACGCAAGTTCGGCCCCACATGGAATACCGTTCTCATCTCTGGGCCTGGGCACCCCAGTGCCAGCTCCTTCCACTTGACCGCATCCAGCGCATAGTGGTTCGAATCGTCGACGACCGAGTTCTTTCTGATCGGCTCGATACACTGGCATTGCGCAGAGATGTTGCATCTCTTTGCGTATTTTATCGCATCTATCACGGGGAGTGCTCTGAGGAATTTTTCGGACTAATTCCAGCCGCTCAATTTCACCATCGCACATCACGACAAAATTCACGTTACCATCCATACCATCTGGATGATTGACGGTCCACCACTGTGCGCTTTAGAAGAAGTTTTCTCCCTCGTACAACTTCCTTGTGGAATCAATTACCACCAGCGAATTTTCCGGACCGCTACGACTTAGGAACCTTCAAGAAAAGAGCCTTTCTAAAAGGCCGGCAACGCATCTGCAATTCCCCTGGTGTAGCAGTTGTTCATGGGTGGCGGTAGTCGCATGCTCGTTTGCCCCCTCTTCTATAAAAAAAGGGTTCCTCGCAAAAAAATTAAAACTCTAAATTACACGCGGGCGAAGTCGCAGGGAACAGCTAGTGTGTAATAAATGTATTTATTACACATATGGTATTGTTACGTAATATTTATATAATACTAGCTCGCCAGGCAGACGTTGTTCTGCCCTTTCCAACGACCCTTCCTATAAAAATCCTTAAATTTGCAATAAAAAATTTTGAAGGGTCACTTAGCGGGATAAAAATTATCCTATCTCTAAAGTTGGACTAAAATGCACACAGTGTGCAAAATTTCATTCAAATCAGTTCAGTAGTTTAGGAGTCCATCGCGAACAAACAACGTGGCACGTAATTTTTATATATTAAGATGTAAATATTCACGATGAATCTTATATTTCAATAATTATATTAACTTCAGAATAGAACGTTTTGAATACTTTTGGTCATATCACAATTCATCTCCAAAATTTGATAGAGTACATTTGAAGTTTATAAACTTTAATTTTTATATATTTACCAGTGATATGACCCGGGTACCCTACTCCAGCATTGTTGATAAGCACATCCGTCCCATCAAAGTTGTCCTCCACCCACTTGAACGTTGTTTTGATTTCGTCTACATTGCTGACGTCGCACTTCCTTGAATGTATACTGCCACTTCCCCTTACATCTGCCTTTAAATTCTAAAACAATTGAAATATGGCATTATAATTAAAATATGTGAAAACATTTTATGCGTAGATTCCATTAATAAAGAGAGCGAGTTGCGTCTGCACGAAGCGTGCGAGGTTGGACTTTACTCGCGTGTTGTCGCGTGCAAAAATTACCATAACATGCTCGGTGGTGAAGTAAAATATTGTGAAGTTTTTGAGCAATAAATTATTTCCGTCCACATGCACTGGAGCAGCATAATTGATTCATAACTCTCTAAGAAATGAGAGGAGGCAGGCACAAACCTCGTCTCATTTCTGAGAGGGACGTATATAGGCTAACTTTACTAACTTTTCCCAATAAAAATGCAGAAAACAATTTTATTAGGTTTCAAGCATTGACCTTCTAAAAACAGGTATTGACTCCATGCATTATAGTTTTTAGAAAAGCGTTACAATAGATATATGACTGAATGTATGAAATATTTATTATTTTACACCGAAAATAAGTGAAAAAAAGAAACAAATTAAATTGTTAAAAGGTAGAATTAGCGTCTTTATCGCTTATAAGCGATCTCTAGCAGGCATTTACATTGCAGAGAATATTACAATACCCTGTGAGAAAGGGTAAGGGTGTATGCAAATTGTTAGAAATTACATACGACGTACATATAATTATATAGTCATTAAGTACATACATAATTTAAAATTAAAAATTTTGTACAGTCGACTCCAACATAAGTTATTAAGAATAACTCAGAAACTATTGATCTGACCTTGATCAAATTCAAGACCACACGAGAAGTATCAGTTTTCAAATAAAAAAAAAGAATCATCGAAATCGGTTCACCTAGTAAAAAAAATATGAGGTAACACACATAAAAAAAACATACAGTCGAATTGAGTACAGTCTCCTTTTTGGAAGATGGCAGAAAATATAATAAATAGGTACAATTCACTTACAAAAATATAGAAATACATTTACAAGAGCATAAATGAGTCAACAAGTAAAATAAAAGCCTTAACCATAGATTAATGATAAGTGAGAGCGCGATGACTTATCATTAATCTATGGTCTTAACGTAATGAAAAATAGGTAGTAATTTTTAAATGTATAACAATATAGATGTTTAGGATTCTAATTTTTATAAATTTGATGTTAACAACATTTAATCATTAATGATTCGAAAAACTTACAGCCATCATTAACTTAAATATACTGGCGGACGATTTTACCGCGTAAAAAAAAAGGTGTAATACAATAATTTAAAATTAAAAATTTTGTACAGCCGACTTCAATATAAGTTATTAAGAATAACTCTAGAATAAAACTATTGATAAAAGTTATGAGGTAACACACATAAAAAATAAAAAAAAATACAGTCGAATTGAGTACCGTCTCCTTTTTGGAACTCGGCAGAAAAATTCCAGACGGTAAAAAAGTCAGCCGTACAATATGATGAGTATGCTATTTTAGCGTTTTGACCGCATATCAATAACCACTGTAAGATGAAACACATAAAACATACAGTTAGATTTTATAGTACATGAGCACCAAATTTCAATCTTCACGATATATTTTGTTATCTCTTACTGTTTCTTACCTTCATTATATTTTCCTACGAACTACATTTTTAATCACAAATGTTTTCAACAATTTGAACAGTGTTTATTATTTTGCATTTATTGGTTGTAAATTGTAATAATGTTATTACGAAATGAGAAAGGTGGGCATTAAGTGTGCGCACTGGCTGCACACTTCAGTATTGCATTGTGGATTACTTAAACGAAAATGGTTATTTCAAATTATATTGCCTGATAGAATACAGTGAAAGTAACTGGTAATGTACACAATTTTTTAAGAAATCTAAAAATTCCGCATTACTTGGTGTTGTTGCCCGATTATATTATTTTTTTACAAACACAAACGAACTAACAGCCTTTTATCCTGATAGTAAGTCGCACCTGCTTCTAACAACTTCTAACGAAAATAGAGGCTAAATATGCGTTGTAATCTTTGATGACTAAAGACGTATCACCTCACAACCTGTTTGGCGAAATCATTCAACCGTTTTCAAGAACACAATTAATAATAAAAAATACATATATAAATATATATATGCATCGGATACAAAAATTGCACGTATAATGTACCTTATAAATAGTTTAAAAATGATAAGATTAATTAAATCACAAAAAAACAGTTATTAAATTAAGAATAATATAAATCAGAGAATTATAAATACCTATCATTATATTAAAATTATTAAGATTTTAGCAACTTAATGATAAATAATTACTTCTTCGTCGCGTTAATGATTTCGTCATAACTATAAAATTAAGTAAGGTACGTGAGGGTAATATGGTCATCTTAAACTTTGTCGCCCTATAAAACCAAAACTAGGAGGAGGACAGAGACAAATACACCATGTCGTCTACTCAACACAAAAATCGACTAAAATATTTGCAATAATATCAACTGTAAAAATAGCGTCGATAAAGGAGCGCCTTTTTGACCCTTTATTGTTTGATAGACTGATCAAGAGCTATCGTATCACAGAGCGTTCTATACAAACGACGCTGTAGTTTTTGAGTTATAAGAAAGTGACTATATTAACCGGAAGACCATATATAACTGTTAACAATGCGATAAAGGTCCAGCAGTGGACTTGTGGCGGCGCTGTCGTCGCGCCACAAGCGAAACACATCGAAGCCTAAATCGCGCTATCAAAGTTCCGAAATTAAAGCAGCATATATAGAATAGCTCCGAACTACTAATCGGAGCGTTGGCCGCTCCCCGGGCAGAACACCTAGCCCGGCGGGAGATCCCCCCTTTTCCTTCCACCCGCTACAGACTTTTATGGGCTGGAAAAGTAGATGAAGAAAGTAGATTCATACAAATTTCGATATTTATGTGTGAATTTGTTCCATAATACTAAGTGGTAGGACTTCAGTGTTAACTCAAGAAAGAAAAGCAATTAGGGAAAGTGATATGGAAAGATATAAAGTAATGAAATTTTCAATATTGCATTTCCAAAGAGGGCTTTTATGATTAATTAATGTTTTATTTCGAAAATTCCTCACGTAGGTATACCGTAAATAGTTAGGGACCACGAAGCTTCAAGTGATACAGTCTGCTAATGACTGACGTCAAGACCGGGACCATTCCTTGGGGACCCGTAATCTTAGTCGCCTAACCTTTCTTTTGAGAGAGAATAGGCAGATTCTGAGTTGAACGTCTGCTCAGGGTCTGCCACCTCGTTGTTCTCGAACCCAACGAGGTATGGTATGGATCTGTGGATAGAAGGTCATTAATTGGTTGATCTCTGACGCAGGGCGGGCGATGAAGATCTCCGGTTCCCTTTCAATTGGTGGTCTACGTCTGGGTAGGTACCACCCTCGTACCTACTCCTGCCGCCAAGCAGCAGTAAGTGCACTGCATTATTCAGGTCTAAAGGGTATATAAAGCTAGTACCATGGGTTGTGAGGTATTCTGTCTTGGATCTCAGGGGTAACAATGCATCTGTAGCATTCTTTATTTAAAGTTGGTTGCAGGTGTCGAAGGCCACTTACCATCAAGTGAAATGTAAGTACGTTTGTCACTTCGGTGTCTTGATAGGTCAGGGGCTAAGTGGTCGTCGTAAATTTTACAGTACGCGAGCAACCCGGGTTCGATCCCCGCCGGCATCAATGAAATTGTTAGTTCCAATTTTAAGTGCTGATTTACCACGTGATTAGCGATGAAGGAAAACACCGTGAGGAAACCTGCATGTCTAAGAAATAAGAATAAAAATATTTCGAAGAAATGTGAAGTTCGTCTTCACGCATTGGGGCAGCGTTGCGGACATTTCCTTGCCCTAAAACCCTCTCAGAAATAAGAACAGGCATATGCTCAGCAGTGGAATGTATATAGGCTGTAACGTTAACTTTTAACGTTCTTCACCTCAATTTTATAAAAAATCCCTGTTACATCCCAAGTTTCAATCAGCCATTACAATTTATCGTGGTCTATAAAATTGTATTGGTCTCTACTTACATCCACTAGTTCTGCTCTTCGGGCTAGACCAACCACACGTAGTCCAGCGTTGGCCAGGCCCACGCATATGGCCGCTCCAATGCCAGCACTGGCACCTGTCACTACTGCTGTCTTGTTCGCCCAACGCTCCATCTGTAATCATGTCAATGTCAATCGTTTACTTGAGCGAACCTTAAATCTTTATCGTTATTTTAATTTCTATTTTAAAAACTACCAGTCGGAAACTGAACGTGTAATGAGATCAGAAGATGTTTATATATATTTTTTATAGAAAGATATAGAATAAGTGTGACAAACGAGCACATATTCCACCTAGTGGTAAGCGGATGTTGTGGCTCACAGACACCTATATTTGTTGTCGAATCAGAATCAAAATGTGGAGGTGTTGTTACTTACTTTTCGAATAATTTAGCGCACAATACTAAAAAAATTATTAAAATAATGGTCTTAAAAAATTTGACTTAATTGATTAAACGGTGTTTTGGGAATGGAAATGTTTGCGAATTGCAACAGATGTGGCTACAGCTAAGTTTGCTTACTGTGGTTATAATTTCTTACGGTATTTTATTGTGGGGACAAGCAGCTAATGTAAAGACTTTATTTTGCAAAAAGGGCATACCCGCAATTTATAATTAACACTCTCGTGATTCGGTTACGGGAACATTAAAATTTTTACTATTTAACAATTATATGAAAATGTTATTTATGAAATGATACGTAAACATAAATATCTTATGGCAAGAAATGATAGTCATATGATAGCTCGTAGTTAAAGAAATAATAACAAAATTGATTATCAGAAATTTTGATTAATTTAGTAAATTCCTCAATGAACACGAATACATTATTTTAAAGTTCATTGAGTATTTTCAGACTTTCCGAAATGAAATTCTATTTTTTTTTGCTCTTAAGATTACTAGAGTTTAAATAAATAGTTTGACGATAAAGGAGCATGGAACTCCAGTAGTTCAACACCAAGCCATATAAATTTGAAGCTCAAGTATTGGTAGTTTTAATAGGTAATTACATATTACGTATTAAAACATACATACATACATACATATAATCACACCTCTTTCCCGTAGGGGTAGGCAGAGATCACTTCTTTCCATTTGCTACGATCCTTATATACTTGTTTCGCTTCGTTCACTTTCATTATTCCCTTCATACATGCTCTACAGTTTAGGGTACTCTTGACCTGGCCTTTTATCAAGACGTCCCTGATTTGGTCTAGAAATGTCCGCCTAGGTCTACCCCTTCCAACTCTTTCATTCACACTCGCCTTATACACTTTTTTCGTCAATCGTTCTTCATTAATTCTCTCAACATGGCCAAACCATCTCAGCATACTTTTCTCAATTTTTGTCACTACATCTTCTTTCAGACCATAACGTTTCCTTATCTCGCTATTTTTTATCCTGTCACTCAGTTTAACTCCTATCATACTTCTTAATGTTCTCATCTCAACTGCATTGATTCTGCTTTCATGTTTCTTCTACCATACCCAACTTTCACTTCCGTACATGAGTGTCGGAACCAACACCCCCTCATGCACAGCCAAACGAGCCTTGTTAGACACCTTCCGACTGCTCATAAAGGAGTGCAAAGCTCCATTAATCATGTTTCCTGCATTCACTCTTCTTTCGATATCACTCTCACACTTTCCGTCTCTTGTAAACTTTGAACACAGATACACAAACTCTTACGTATTAAAACCTCCTAAAAAACCAACTAAGCAACTATGGTTTTTTTAGGAGGGAATAGTATTAAATTTTCACATGGAAAATTACAAATGTGTTCCGTCATAGATTAATGATAAGTCAATTCTATATCATTTTATGTTTATTTCTGTGGTATTGCTCAAATGACATAATTACCGTTTATTAGGGTTCCGTACCCAAAGAGTAGCAACGGGATCCAAGTCTCACCATATACGTAACTATTAAAAAGAAAAACCTATACATAATATACACAAATATATTGATACATTTGTTATTAATAAACTATTCATTTTTAAGTATTTCTGGAGTACATTCATAACTATGAACTTAATAAGCCATAGATAGCATAAAATAAATTTTCCCGTTAATCGGGTAATAGTTAAGCTGCTGGCATATACAATTTTACACGCACACTAGCATCTTGCAAATTGTCTTATACACACCATAATATTAAGATGCCGCACTCACGGAGCTGTTACTTTCAGGTAACACGGTATCTAGTCAGAGCGCGCGATGACTTATCATTAATCTATGGTGTTCCGTAAACTACCTTAGTTTTATGGCATACGGAGATTTAAATCTCAGTGTGTGTGACGGACATGGGCTCGCCTGAACGACGCTGGGGGTCTGTTTATGTTTTACATATTTTATAATAAATTATGTGTAATGATATTGTAATATTTATTCTAAAAAAAAAACGACAAACAAGATAATAACTGCGAAGTTTCTTTCGCCGTTTCTTCTCCGTACATAAGAATTCACTTCGAAATGGTAGTTTAGTTTAGTTTAGTTTAGTTTACGACGGGCTGTTTTCCGCAACTCCACGTCTATGCGCGTATTTTGCGTGTGGGCAGGAATAATGTGATTATTCGAGCCATGAGATCTCTCCGAAGAAGCTCAACAGGCCCTTGATGTTGCATGCAACTTCGGGGAGTGATCCCGGCGTGCCGAGATGTTTAGCCCTGTATGTAGCGACCTTCGAAATGGTATTAGATTTATTAGACTTAAGAATAATTAAAAAATAAAAATTTTGTACAATCGACTTCAATATAAAGTATTAAGAATAACTCAAAAACTATTAGTCAGACCTTGATCAAATTTTTATGGGACCATCGAAATCGATTCACGTAGAACAAAGTTATGAGGTAACACACATAAAAACATACAGTCGAATTGAGTACCTCCTCCTGTTTGAAGTCGGTAGAAAATAACTTTTGACGAACGAAATTTTTAATTCTTGCGTCGAAAAAAAAGTAATTTTTTTATTTTATTTGTGCTGCTACCACGTCAAACATTGAAAATGTTTTTTTAAATGAGAATATATTTTATTCTTCTTCTTTTTTTATCACATGTCACATGACATGGGCGTTTTCCGTTGTATTTGGATTTTTCTCAACCGCAGAACAGAGGATTGACGATCGCACTACCAGATAATCTCAAACCTTTACCGCTGCTGTCTGTCGTCAGTCTTGGTATTTTACGTCTGGTGTAAACAAGAAAGTTATGTCGCTATTAAGATTTAAGATTTACCTGGCATTTCACGACGTCCCCTCTTATAAGGCTACTCGTTTAATCAATTTAAAAAAATATTCGAAATTCAAAAAGACAATATGTGAATTCTATTCTACCAACTATAGTGTTCCAGTTTGAAGGGTCAGAGAGTCAGTATATTTACAGGCTTTGAATATTTCCATCCCATACCTCAGAGACGCAAACATCGGTAGTCTTCTTTTTTTTTGATTTGCTGGTATTGATAGGCTGCCGAAATCATTTATCAGTAGTTGCTCGATTGGGACTCATATTACTTAAAAAAAAAAACGTTTGGACACAATAGAAAGTATTAAAGATGTTAAAAATCAATTTACTAAGATCCTTCAAGAAGGAAATAAAATAATATGTCTTACCTAGTTTGAAGAGCACCTAATCCCAGCACCACTACTACTAGCACCACTACACTAGGAAAGACACCACCCATAAATACGACACGTGTATCGTCTCTAAACGAGGCATCCTCAGGTGAAGTAGACTGCGGTGGCTGACCGCCAAGTACTTAATATCTTTAATATAATGGATTTCCGCAAAGTAACACCTGATTCCATTAATCAAAACGGAAAGGAAATCAAAGTATTTACATCGTAGTCAAATATCAAGCAATAACTTTACCTTTTTGATGGTGGAATATTTTTTTTAGCACTGTTTGTTAATATATAATTATTTTCGTTTTGAATTAATAATAATGTAAAAATTAACACAGAAGTAAATCTAGTGTTTAATATCAAATGAGTAAACTGTTCTTTACACTGGCTGAAGTTAAATGACTAGAGACATGAACCGCGCTCCGTTTTTATTGGTATTACGCACTGATAATAGTAAACACTTCAGAAATAAGTTGATTGCATGAGTTTGGCAATTTACAATAGTACACTTGTTGACCGCGTGACTAAATGACCTTAGTCTTAGTCTAGCCCTTTTGAAAATGCGCATATTTTACTTTTTAATGGTGAGATTTCTAAATTTATTTTAAGAAGTAAATCATTTAAAATGTCTAATCCTAATTGAAGTTGATTTTGCGCCTCTTTCCAGTTATTAGAAGTTATAAATATGACGTAATCATCAGCATACTGAGAGATATTAAGATGTGATTTGGAAGTTATAGACTTGCATATATCTATTGTTGCTATGTTAAATAATAACGGAGAAAGTGGATCACATTGTGCTAGACCGCGACCTGTACTTCTAATTATTTTATAATCATCAATCATCATTATATAATCAATCATGAAATATCTTTGACTTAAGAAAGCTGAAAGATAGTTGCAAAATTTTGCGTCAACATTAAGACGATCGAGGGTTGATAAAAGATAACTTATGTCTACATTATTATATGCATTTTTTAGATCTAGAAAACATCCTATTGTAAAAAAAAATTAGTAAATCCTATTTGAATGTTTGTGACTAAATCGGTTAAATTGTCGAGAGAGGAATGTGATTTTCTGAATCCTTTAGTTTCTTCAGAAAATAGTTTTTTGTTTTCAACGTACCACTCTATACGGTTATTCATAATGGCATAAAATACTTTACATAAGCACGAAATAAGAGAAATAGGCCTAAGAGATGAAATAAAATTAGTGTTCCTGCCCGACTTAGGTATAGGTATAATGCGAATATGTCGCCATTGATGGGGAACAAAGCTTACTGTAAAAAATATATTGTAAAGCTTGAGCAAAACGTTTTTGCCTGCTACAGGTAAATTAAATAACATAGAATAAGAAATATATCTTATTCTATGTTCCAATTTGGGATTGTGAGATGTGTACCCCGGGTAGGATTGACTTACATAGTCAGGGGTTAAGCTGCACTATAATGACTCAGCGATACTTTTATCAATTTGTCGTTTAGCTGATCTATAAA